AGAATGGTCAACAAAGTACAACAGCTTGAACAAGTGGTATTTCACTGTGACGAGCGAGCGGACAGCTTCGGATGAAAAACCGATGCGATGATGATGGGCGAAACTGTATTGTGGAATAATAATAACGTTTATTCAAGAAACTGTTGCTCTTGAAATTTGTATATTTCTGCATAAGTGACTTGCTTCCTACAGTTTACTTCTGCTTGATCGTTTCAAGACGTGCGAGAAGAGCATTGCCTTCTCCATGCTTCCAGAAATCTTGAATTTTCCGGATGCGAATGCCACTGTTGAAGATATTTTGCCAGTGAATAGGTTGTAGAGCGTGGCTGGATCTGTTTCAAAACATACATCGACATGCTCAGTAGCATTTAGTGTACTGTACACTCCGCCTGCTCCATTTTTCAGATCAAAATATACTGTCCGGCTGTCCGACCCTGAAAAACCGGTGCATCCAGAATTTTTCATCTTCCCTTTTCGTTCTGTCAGACGTCAAAACCTCAGTCATAATGGCTCTCCATGAAAGGAAATGACAATCGTCGCCTCTGGTATAAACCTCTTCCGTAATCACTATGTGTAAGGAGCAGAAACTGTATTAGAAGTGATCCGGCATACTTGTCTGCATTTGACTCTATCAGAAGTTAAAACCTCTTCCTTAGCCATACCATATGAGATGCAAGGACACTCAGAGGTGATTTCGAACAGTAGGACTCCACTACGAAAATCTCTCGCCCGCGGTGCCTATTCGATGGTTGTTTGAGAAATAAGGGAATTTCATTTTCTATCACTCTAAATATGCCAATAACAATTTCGCTGAGAACTGATTTCCTCACTGGCAGATCAAAAAGCGACTTGAATTTGAGGAATGGCACCACTTGCTGCTACTCTACGCTTCTTCGTCAAACTCGAGATTTAAAAATTAATAAGAAATATAAATAATACAAACTTATTTTCAAAAATTGGGAGTCTGGAGAATGAAGGTGAAGGACGGAAGAACGGGGGAAGAGCAAAGAGAATGGATTCTTCACGGATTCTAACTTTCACAATTAAAACAAAAAAAAACTTCATTTCTTCATTGTCTTCGTTATCTGTCCTTCTTGTCCTAGCAAAGGATTTTTTTTTCTCAAGCTTTCAGTAAAGACTTCCTTTTTTCAAGCTTCCTAAATTTGTATTTGTAGGTGAAAAAGTGATGAACGTTTCCATAAATAGAAAAGTTATAGGATCCTACCTGAACTGACATTAAGCTGATAAATGGCTTGAAGTTTTTTAACAAATTCCGGAGTGATTCGTTGACTGGCTTCCTGGATCAGCACATCCAGCGATTGCATGGGAATCGTTTTTGCTGATTCATCATGCCTTTTTGCATCTTCTTCATCAAGAAAGAAATCCGTCATTAGTTTCTCTCCTAAAGTATGTTTATTTTTTTAAGTATGCTCGTGAAACCCTTAATTTTCCATTATGAGGAAACTGTAGCAAATTCTTGGCACATCCATGAAGCAAACTCGACTCCTTCTTGCTTAAAGAGGCACAGAAATAGTTCGCGCTGCAAATGGAGGCGCAAAAATCTTTAAAATATTACTAAATTTCGCCAATGAAGTGAAAAATTTAAACGAATGGGCATTAAGGTCAGCCACTAAAACATGTCAATTTGCGTTAACAGATTGTTTGTTCCAAGAATGTTTGATTTTAGCACTTCAACTGAAAAACAACTACAGTTAAGCAAAAAAAAGCAAAAGAAAAAAAAAACAGAGGGTACCGCTTCGCGTCAATTTTGGGGTAAAGCCTCTTGTCGGAAGCTGCGTACACCACTGACTTTAAGAAAGCCGCACCTGGTTTCACGGTATACTGTTCAAAATCCTGGATTCCTTCTTCTCGCAAAATATCATCGTCAATAGCAAAATTTCCACTGTAGGTGCCACTGTCACGAGAAAGCAAAGCATAAGCGGCGTCGGCCATGATTTCTGGTTTGCGGCATTCCTACAACAAAATTTTTTTTGCACGTTTTTCATCACTGGGCTTTCTTGTATTACTACTTTTCTTGATTCAAAAAAATTTCTCCGTTTTCCTTCCGGACTCCGATTACTAGTAATCCTTGGGTACACGAATCTTCCGGCTGCTCCTAATTTTCACGGTGACTGCATTTCTGACTTCATTTGTAATCCGTCACGTTCCTCACGCATCCGCATCGAGCCAATTCCCGACTTCAGCTTGGTTAACTCCCACCACATTGACGACACATACTCCCAATCCAAGTTTAAATATGAAAATTAAAAGAAGTACATTTTGTGCAGTTCCTCCTGAAATCATATCCATGGCAGCAGTCCAGATGGCTGTTCTTGGCCACAACGCGTTAACGGCTATTTTAAATGGGCGCAGTTCTTCATGCATTCCAAGTGCACACATCGACATGCCATACTTTGCCATCGTATAAGCTGCGAAAAAAAAAAAAACTACAAAATTCGACTTCTGTGAGAACTACATTTGAACGTGCAAACAGATCAGCACTGGGCATGAAGTACCACTAAGCGATGAAAAAGCGCTTTACAGAAGTGAATGCCGTAACGTACCACAGAATATTATATATTCTAGCTTGTAGCAACGACTTTCGACTGTTAACTGAATGAACAGGATGTCTTCTGTCTTATGTTGAAATCACAGTGATAACTAGTCCATCGCTTATTGGACAGAATCGGACTGTCTGTGTGGTCACGGAAGAAAACTTCAGTCATAATTCAATTAATCACCGTCTCCGCCACAGCTAGCACCCATTTTTCTGCTTTCACCATTGATCATGTTTCACATCCGTACGTTACTTTATCTAGCATTTTAATTCTTTTTGCATGCACATGAACCCTTAAGTTAATCATCCTTTCAAGAAATAGAAGGAATGTCAGAATTGCCAGTAGGATGAATTCATGCAGCATTGGTCAAAACAACCAGAAAAGTTGAAAGTTGCATAGTTAGGAATCCATAGTATGAATCAGTGCTCATTCTAGACATACTGCGTGACAATTCAAAATCGTGCAACTCCACTCGGACTTGGGGTTATATTAAAGCAATGCATTTTAAAATTCGAAAAACATACCAACATGATTCGCAAACCAGCGCTTGTTCATGTTTAATGGTGGGCTAATGTTCAATATATGCGGATTTTTGCCTTTTTTCAGGTAAGGAATACATTTCTGCGACCTGTAAAAGAAGAAGGATTAGAAATCTATTAGTGGATTTCCACTGCTTGTTTTACCAGTTGAATATTCGAGGAAAAGTTCGAAAACAATAAGGGAGAAAATGGAAAAATACGTGTATTTAAGCAAATTAAAATGTTAAGGCCTATTAACTTACACGTCCTTCAACCGATAACAATATGCAACCTCATCAGTAACTGTAACAGTCTATCACCACTTATAACGATAACTCAATTTGATCATCAACTTAAATAAAAGATAGATAAGTAAAGATGCGTGTTCTCTTAGGTCTAAAACTGAATCGGGACAAAATCAATCCCTGCACTCTTTCCCGGATCAAGTTGGTACTGCTGTGGGCTTAAACTGCTCTTGTACTGGCTTCACACAAGTAGTTCACGGATAGAGTCACTACTATGTAATAACTGCTGTCGATTATAAAACTAAGTTCATAAAGATTACTTCTGTTCGTCAAAAAATAATGTGTTTCTTGGGACTTTTAAATTTAAGTTGAAACTGTGCGTGTCAGGCACAAAATTGCATAAAACAAAAAAATTATTCTTTGAAAAATATTCTTAAGGCAAGACGCTTTAGGAGAAATTTTCAATCGTCAGTCAAAAGTGGAAATCACTCATAACCTACATCAGAAATGTTCCGCGCAAATTGATCTGATGCATGAGATCGAATTTTTTCATTGTTGTTTCCAGCGTTCCCGTAAGCGATATTGCACTGGCATTATTCACCAGAATATCAATTCCACCAAATTTGCTGACTGCTTCCGTGACCGCCTTCGAAACCGACTGCTCGTTACGAACATCCACAGCGCATGCTAATCCTTTGCCTCCGACCTGAAACAATAGAAATTCGAGTAGATGGAAGTCTAAATTCAACGACTGAAAGAACGAACTAAAATTTTGCAGAAAATGATCCATGCTTCTTTCTGCCGTCCGATACAATAGAACATAGTTTAGGCCATGATTTTTGTAAAACTTGAAACAAAAGAAACACCATTCTCTGCCCAATTGCAACAAAAAATCACCGAGAAAAATTTCTCCGAGCGTTTTATAGGTTAGAAATATCTAGCTGCTACTGCCGAACACAGTGTAACACCTGCTCAATAATTCAAAAATTAGCCTTCTTTTTTTACCATTCTTCATTAAATGGCCGCCAGTCTTGATGCACAGTAAAATGGTAAACTCTGGTTTCTAATACCAACCATTTCAAACACTGTACAAATTAACTTACCAAAATTTTTGAAAACTAAATAAAATCAGAAAATTACATAATTGGCTTCAGTTTACTTGATTTGACTGGCCAAATAGGATCGCTTAGACCGTCCAGACATTCGATGCTGCTACTTGTATATTGGAATGTAAACACATGCTGAACGTTGCTGCGCCGAGACTTCCAATTCAAAGAAACATAGAAAAACACTAAAATTTCTCCAAAATATAACCTTTTCGATCTCTTCAACAGCACTATGAATGGTGCCAGGCAATTTCGGATGAGGCTCAATGGTTTTCGCGGCCACAACAATATTCGCGCCATCTTTGGCAAGCTTGAGTGCAATTTCCTTGCCGATGCCACGCGATGCACCAGTGATGACCACTGTTCGACCTGCAAACTTACTGGAAACACACAATTTTGGCCTTTTAAAAGTTCGATTTTTTAATCTTAATAAGTTTTTCCATCGATTTCGTCGACCTCCCCTCACAAGTTAAATCTGGAAAGAGTTTTGTATTTACAGTTCCGTGGAATTCTAAAAATCATTGATTAATTTCGGTAGAAAAGGAATTTTCTGGCCAAAAGTTTCATAAATAAAAAGTTTCATAAACTTTTGGCCAGAAAATTCTTTTCCTACCGAAGTTTAGACATCAAGAAGCAAAAATTCTTTTCACATTTGTTTCCTCATGAGATTACGACACAAAGAAATGATTCAAAAAGCTATCAGGTGTAATGAGTTCCATGACTATGCAGGAATGGAAAGGCGAAATAAGCTTTCAGACGAGAAAAAACTAACCCAGTGTTGATCATCGATGTTTGCGTGGAATGTGTTAGCAGTGGAAAAAATTCTCCCTAAAAATAAAATTAATTGAATCTGCAGTGTTATCAAGGTTTTGCTCAAAAGCCCACAGTTGAAAAGTTAGCACAGAAAGGCATACAGTGGTTTGTAGATCGTGCTGATAAAACGATCAACAAAGAAGTTTGTACGATATTCAAATAAAAAATAATTTATCTGTAAAAAATTCGTCAAATTAATTTGCATACCAGTGGGAAATTCAAACGATTCATGAGGAAGACCAGGAGGCAGCACTGCTGTCAAATGGTGGACCAAAAACGTGTTAAAGTGAATGGAGATAGCAAAACAGACTTTTCGAAGCACTATTTCTGTCGGAAAAGTTCAAAATTGAAGCTGTGAAATGCCAAACTAGGAATGTAGCGATAAAATTAAATTCGGAAATTCGGAACTGCAGTACAAAAACACTCCCACTGAAAGACTTCCATTTTAGTGGAAAAAATCCAGATTATGGAATGTTGCTTTCCTCAGCTCTACTGGGCGTGCAAAAAAATGACCCGTTTCTTGCCAAAAATGTACTTTATGATTTTTATGAATATTCCATCCCTACAGAACTCTGGGAAAACCAGCGGAAACTAAAAACAACATCGAAGCAGTGAAAAATAAAAACAATCGGCACCGAAGTCCACGTAAGCAGTACAGTTACTTTAATCCCGCACACGGCCCGAAGAATTGGGAATATTTTCGCTGTGAAAGCTCATGTATTTACAAAAGAAAGGCCTAGCATAGCGATGCTCGAGTTGCGGGAGCATTTTAGCAGCATCATTAACTCGAGAAAACCCATACCGATTGTTCAAACTGTACCTGGTACTGAAAAAACATACAGTTCGAAATACTAGCAATAGTCACAAAACAGGTAATGGCAGAAGTCCGGTGTAAGTCGTAGTAATTCAGTAGCCGATAAGATCAAGTTAAAAAAAGTATTCGAAAGCTCTAAATTAAAAAACAGACGACAATTCCTGTCAAAGGTGAAATTTTCGACTTCTTTAGCTACATTTCAAATATGAAAGTTTAAACACTATCCTCCTCCGAGACCGTGTATCCTGCTATTTCTTGGTTTGTTCAATTACTGCTCTCTACTCTCCTCCCTGTCTCCTGAAACTAGTTCTTGTAATTTTAAACATCGTCAAATTCAGGCTTTTGCTTGCTCAAAGCAGTAGCTGCAGCGCGTAGAAGATCCTCGGACTGAAGCTGCGACTGGTTCCACGTTCGGATAAAATTAATCGAATCATCCACTGGGTGGTCGCGTGAGTAATTCAGTGCCATTTTGGTACCACGGACGGCAATCGGACTACGCGTAGCAATCTCACGTGCCAGTGATAATGATGCTGATAGGCAATCCTCTGTACTATCAAACAGTCGCGATATGAAGCCTGCAAAAACGGCTTCAGTGCTAGTTGATTACCAAGCAAAATTCATGGACCTTTTGTTCCCTTCCTATTCTATGTTTTTCTAGTAATTTAATAACACTTCCTGTTTCGCATATAAACACACACACACACACACTTCCATAGACACCCTCACATACGCATGCGTGCTACTACACCTGCGCAAATGCATAAAACAAGCAAATAAACAAACATATAAATGAATACATACAAGCAAACAAATACACATACTGTGAGAGTCTAGGCTCTAAAACACATTAGTAGAAGACTTGATGTTTTCCATGAGTACGCAAACAGGCGGATCCAGCGGAAGCAATGAAATGTCTTTCCTCTCTCTCCCTCAGCGACAAAGGTACCGTGCTACAAAGTCCGGGTCTAAAGCTAAAACTGAAAAAACTCTCTTCCACACCGCCCCCCGTCGCTCCTCCCTTCTTTCTCCTCCCCGCTCCCCGGCCCCGCCCCCTCCCCAGGAAGCCATCCTGGACCCGCCTGTGAGTATGCATGTGCTGCGTATGTGTATTATTTTTAATCCTAAAAACACAAATGTAGCTAAATGCTGAACAATTTTTGCACTTCCGCTTTCCAAAGGTTGAAATGATTAATCTGCCATTATTTTTTGATACGAACCATACTGGAGGGCCTCGGAACTGCCAAAATCGCGAGCGGTGTACGCAAGCTCACGAGTGAGGCTGTCACTTTTGACGAGCTTATTGATTCGATTCAAAATGCCAACATCTGCTACAAGGCCAACGTCCACTTCCTGAAATATAAGTACGCTGAAATTTTTTTGATACACCCGTAAAAGTGAAAAAAGCTGAGCTCCATAATCTTTTAGTCTGTGCTGATTTAGGGCTAGAAAAGCAATTTATGTTTCAGCAGTCAAAATATTCTTGGAGAACAGGTGCTATAATTACCAAAATTATGAATGTCATCCAAACAATGGCTGTGATACCGTTACTGGGATGCGTACAGTAAATAAGTCAATAACATAAGCTCCAATAACCGGTTGTTCAGTGAAAATAACCCAGCTGTTCTGGTTCCCTAATTAACAATTTTCACACTAAAATTTTCATTTGCCCTATACGTGCGATTCAGACGTGCGTAAAAATTGGTACCGCATTCCTAGATAACACTTAGTCAGGAATCCAGTGACAAAATTCCAGTATCAAAGCTTGCGTTTGTCAAAGTGAAGTGCCCGAACAGGTACACGCAAACACCATACGTAATCGTAATATGCGTTTTTGCATTTGCATGAATAAGCAGGAATAAAAATTTATCCTGCTGCCGTATTGTTGTCCGTTGCAAACCAGCGCCATCATTATCAAAACCCAGGCTGGAACGCACCAGGCGGGCCGGTGCGATCATGCGTTTTTGCACCTTTCGTACCGTAGCAAGATCGCTAGGAGTCAATGTAGCTAACCCTGTGAAATACTGGCCCTCGAAGTACGGGAAGTTAATTATGCAACTATGTGGTATGTCAGTTGTAGGTGTCGACTTCAGTGACCCGACAAA